CACGGAAATGTGCTGTCAATTTGCGTGACATCAACTTTTAAGTTCTGCCCTTTAGTTTAATTTGTACTTTAGTCTTTAAGTTTGTTGCGTGTTCTGTATTTGATGTGTGTTACGGTTAAATTATACAATTCCTTAACAACCATACAATATTGACACAAAAATGATGGCAATTTGAGTGCACCAACTTCTTTGCCCCATTCACTTTTATAAACTGGCAGCTCGCGCAAAACTTTACACCATTTCGTGTGCCTGCAGAAAACTAACTTTAAATATTGACAGCAACTGTCGGAAACTCATGCTGCCGCCTTTTAATAAGCTGCAACGTACTTTATCCACGAGTTTTTTCTAAATTAACTTACGTACATACATTTTGCATTGATCAAAGCTTGGCTCTTGACACCACTCTTTGCCTTTGTACGCACATCGTGTGCAATCTTTGAGAGTTCTGATTGCAATTATTAATTTTTTCCCACTTTTCAATTTGTGAAGACAAGTCATATTGTCAAAGTGCTGAAATTATATATGAAGGTAGATGGGAAAGCTTATCATATTATTTATCAGCTCTTATAGCGAAGAAGAACCTTAAGAGCCGTAAGTTGCCGTGTGAGCAACTCGAGAACAAAGAAAACATTTTTCTTCACGTCTGGCATAGTTGTATGCTTAATATTTTGTTATCCTACTTTCTAATTCTGCTTTTAAAATTTCAAAACTAGAACTCCATAGCACATATCATACATAAAATATTATATGACACACTCATAGTTTAGAGCCAGGAGCCGTATTGTCTTTAACAGCGGTCTACCTTAGCATAAATACTTCAAAAGCAGGCGAAGGACTCGGGAACTTAAGATAAGGATGCACAGGCCGTGTTGACAGCAGTGAGCCGACTGACCGACCATGCTGCGACAGAATTATTACTAATGTCAAAGAGCGAGGCGACAAACATATATAGTCTTGAAGCCCTGTTCTATGCTCTATGATACAAAAAAAAAAAAAACGTGTCTAAAAGAAGAGCAAGAAGAAAGCGCATCAATCACAAAAGAATTATGTTGGGGTAAACAAAAGCATTTGTCATGACACAGCAGACAACAACAACAACAACACTCTTAGCTTCTGCTGCTGTTGTTGCGGCTGTTGCAAGTGCCAACGGATTGAGGACATTAGCTTGAAAAGCTGCTAGTGGGCAGGGATTCAGAACTAGCTGACTCTTGGCTGTTGGTTAGTCTGTCAGCTGTTGGATGGCCAAAAATGTTGTCCACACACACATACACACACACAAACGAAAAGAAAAAACCAAGGCACATAAATCTGTGCCCAGCAAAAAGGTGTCTGTGGTAATCTGTGTGTGTGTGTGTGTGTGTGTGTGTGTGTGTGTGTGTGTGCGTGTGTGTGTGTGTGAACCTTTTGAGTAATTGCACACATTTAAAATTCTTTTCACACTTGATGCCAAAGGCAAAAGCTCACTTGTCCGCTGGCCAGCTCTTTGAGACTGAAGTTTGGGGTCAACATACGCCAATTTCTCATCAACTATTTATGCATAATTTTACAAAGTGCATACGAACGAATTGCAGCTACTTTAATCGTGCGCCCCAATTCCCAAAGGGAAGCCAGCAATCGCTTAGCTGTCTATATTCTGGTTAAATACATGGAAGCAGTTATTAAATTTTATGCACTGGCTGAAAGTAATTTGCTGCTCAGGATCCCCAGGATTCACACATATTGGCTGGCTCAAGCTTGCCTTTGCCTGCGTGCCAGCTTCGAGCTTCGAGCTTCTTGGCTAAAAATTTGCATTTAAATGAGTTTGGCCCAAAGGCAGCGTATCGAAACTAAATATTTGCCATAGCAGAGCAAAAGGTAGTGGCAATGTGGATGTGGGTGTGGCAGCCAGCAGGTTATTTTTACAACTTATGCAACAATGCACACATGTACACAAATATTGTTATACACAACATAAACCACACGCACACTAACAATGGCAACACTCAAAGGTGTGGCAAGTAGGCGAGTCTCTACTTTTGAAGATTAGAGATGTGCAACAGAGCCGATGGTCTTAGGTATTCTAATATCTTACGATATATGGCAGTAGTTGGTGCTCAAAAAATATACACTTTATTTAAATACAAATAAGCTACACTCGCTATAATTTTAGTTAAAAATAAACTCAATCATAGTTTTCGTAATTACGAAATATTAATGTATACTTATAATTTCATTTGCATGTGTAAGTAATAAATGTGTCCTAGAATTAAATAATCGCCTTATGCAAAATTCTAAAAAGCGGGTTCACCTTTACATGGATTGTTTTCTATTCTACGAAAACTTTAAGTGCTAATGCCTAGAAGCCAAAAGCAACGATATGCTTTAAGTCCCAATTTGGCTGGCAACAAAACTAAAACAGAAGCAACAAAAACAAAACGATAACAAAAGTATCAAGAACAAGTATCTACAAATAAAATATATATAAACCTAAGCTCAACCAAGCGAAAAGCAAATTGACCAAAAATGTTTTGCAATTTGTTGCTTATTTTCTGAAAATTTTTATAATATTTTACTTAATTACTAACACAATTTGTAGAGCGCAGCTGTTGCCGAATAAACAACAAGAACAACAAGAATATCTTGACAGTACACAAATGCAAGCAGAGTGAGGAAGGGGTGAAAGGGTGCAAGGCACTAAGTGGCCAAGGGGAAGCGACTGTGAGGGGAAAACTAAGTGCAAGCTGCTCCAAGTCATGGAGCAGGCTGAGCAAACTAATTGAAGCTGGCCAGCATGAGCCATACTCGAAAAGTGTGCCAAGTTTTTGAAGAGCCTGTGGTTTGCCAACTTTAAAATTGACTAAGCTCCCAGAAATCTAGAAACCCTGTCTTATATCAACTGTCAGGCTGTTTACCGAATCAATGACCTTTCATGTCAAAAAGGACAAGCAATGTATGTACTCAAACAGCCGAGAGAAACAGCAACAAGCACAACAATATCAGCAACATTAAGCGCCATCAGTTGACTTTAAAACACCCTGTACTTTTCTCTTTGTAGTTTACGCCAGCGATGTTGAAAGCAATACACAAAAGAAAATTTAAACTGCATGTTTGCCTCTCATTTTTGAGCTTCAAATTTGTTGAAATAAAAATAAATATTTTTGACTAATTTTGACTTTGTGAATAGTTCTAAACTAGGTATTAATTCAGTGGATTTTAGAGTCATTTAAGTAACAATTGCATTTGCTCTATTTATTTGATAGTCCAGCTTACCCAGCTAACCCCTTTTTTTTTGTTGTGCAGCGACAACAACTTAACTACATAAACGACAACCCTCTCCCACCCCCCTCCCTTCTGATCTTCAGACGACGCCCCAGTATCGTTGCTGCTTTCTATTCACTTGCCCGGCGACTGGGGGCACTTTTTGCACAGCGTTGATTTCCGTTGCTGTATGTAAAAGTGCAACTTGAGGCGCACTCGCACTCAAGTGTGTGTAAAGTTGTATGTATGTGTGTGTGTTGGCTGCAAGTGGTTAAAAAACTAAACTGTTGCCATGTGTCAAGTGGCAGCTTGACGACGACGACTACCATAGGAATGAAGGAGATGCCAAAAAGGACTCAGGCGACGGCAACGCCGGCAACGACGTCATCAACGTCAGCATCAATGGCGCGCACTTTGCAACAAACAAAACAACGGGGCAGAAAGCTGCAGCACCTGCTGCAATCCAACTGGAAATGAGAAGGCAGACGGCGACGACGATGACTTTAGCCTGTTGTTGTTTTAGTTAAAAACTCTCGTGCACACTCAAAATTGCCACAAAAGGCAACAGGAGCAGCAACAGCAGCAGCAACAGTAGCAGCAACATCAGCAGCAACAGCAGCAGCTGCAAAAGCAAAAACAGGAACAGCAAACGCCCATTTAAGCACTCAAGTAATGAGTCGCCTCGCCTGCAAGTGCAGTCAAAAGGGCTAAGCACAGGGATTTGAGGATCCAAGGATCCAAACACAAACACAAGCACAAACAAACACAATGTCTATTGAACCCATGCGGCGGGGTTAAAGTTGAAGCGTCCATAACGCTAAGAGCTGAACAAAACAGTCACTTGGTCGCACAATGCGTGAGAAATCATTTAACACCGAAATCGGATTATGAGTCTCATATGGAGGGGGTGCCAAATCAATACATAAGACTCTTGAGCAGATTGTCAATGCTGCTTGGCCACCAGGCAACAGGCAGCCAGTAGCAACAACAATTGGAAATCATTTGAAACCTTTCAAATGCCGCACAAAAGAAATTGATTTCATTTCAACACTCTCATCCCCTGCCCGAAGATTTGATTTAAATTTACTCAACCTCTGACTCCTCAACAGGCAGCAACCAGATGCCGGCCATTAGTCGAAGAGAACAGGAAAGTGCAAGAGAAAGAGAAGGAAGGAAGGAAGAAGGACAACGAGAGAGGGAGGAGGAGGAGGAGGAGGACCAAGAACATGAGCTGTCTGTTGCATTTGCCAGCCAAAGTGAGAGATGCAGAAGAGATATGACTTGCAGAAATTCAATAATGTAATCTAGCGCAAAAATAAGCGAATTGAAGTGCATTTAATATGCAGCCCGAAAGTAGGCAATACAAATGTTATGGTGTACACAATGTAGAAGAATCCAATTATTTGTGTAAAGAAGGAAACCAAAAACAAAAAAAAAAAGATTCTTACAAGCCTGTAAGCACCTGTAATGCCTTTAAGAATGTATTCTCTTTAGGAGAAAGTTGTGATCAAAAATTACAATCAATAATTATTCAATTAAACCAATTAGAGCACACGACTTATTCAACAGGTGACAATTTCCACTTATCTCAGAGTCATTAAAACCAAAATAAGTCACGCGAATTAATATATTTTTTCTATGGTAAATTGTAAAATCGTGTTGATTAAAAGTTTGATTAGGTACTAATATAACCTATTATATATTATAAAAAGTATCAAGTTTGTAGCTATATAACCAGCAGCAAAACTATATAATTTATCAGTCGACAATATTCTGTTCTGTGAAATTTATTAAAATGATGACGAAAAATGCACTTCCTGCAATTTTACTAGCATTCCTGCTGGTCCTCGTACAGGTAACTAACCATATAGACTTCTAAGAATGTATATAATAATTATCCTTTATGAATTTTGTAGGGTGAACCCACTAAAGAAGATTTCGATTCGGCTGATAAAATATGTTCGGAACTGCATAATATTAGCAAAGACGAGGTTGCAGAGTTAATGAAGCAGGGTTTTCTAAATAATACGGATAAAGTTGATAAGAAGTTCAAATGTTATTTATACTGTCTAGCTGGGGAATTGGGGGCACTTGGCTCCGATGGTTATTTGGATGTGGAAGAATTGACTAAGTCAGAAGATGTGAAGCCGGCCCAGCTTCTTGCTATCACGCATTGCAAAGATGAGCACGATGGAGAGGAAGACACCTGCGAGTATGCTTTCAATATATCTGTTTGCATATTAAAGAATCTTAATGAAAGCAAGTGAGAAATTTAAATATGTTATATTGCAAATCTGTATTGTCAAACGGAAATAATATTAACAATAATAAAGTTAATCTGTATTCTCGCATAGCTAATTTTGTATTACTACTATTAAATAGATAGTTTGGCTGTTGAAAATATCAGAAAAAATATAACAAAACCCTTTTAACCTCAACGTAGTTTATGAAAGGAACTTAAGCTGGAAGGACCAACTGTCATGTTTGAATATCCTTATAAATCTTAGATAGTCATATCAAATTAGACCAATATAAAATACTCCCATCAGTTGTCGCACCTTCCCTACCTTTTTGGCTTAGATGAGAGGACAGGAACAAACCTTCCAGTTAGTTACCTTCCAGGACATTAAGCTTGGGAATCAGCTTAACTAATTTCGACGCTGTGAAGAACCCTTCTTAGTAATTCAATTAGCAGTAAATCTTTACAAATAGCTCAAATAGACTCGTGGACACACACACACACACATTAAGCACACATGCATAGGCCGACTTTTTAATATAAGTTATGGGAGTGCTGAAAAGCCTTGGCCAGTTAATAGTTGTGCCTTTTGGTAACAAAGAGCTTACCTCCGACCAGCCGTGGGTGGATTTATCTATTCTATTTTGTAATTTTTAATTTCGCAACTAATGCGATTATTCACAGCTGACGGAACATCATGGCAATAAAAATGACCAACGTGTAAGCCACGTTTAACACTCGGTTTATTTTTAGTTAACAGACCAGCCACCACCTACATAAAAAAGGCAAGTTAGTGTACTCCATTTGAAAGAGCGCTTCTCGAAGGATATCCTACACAAATCTTAGCATTGCTATAATAAACACACGAAACATTATTTACAAAAAACTTATATTGAGCTCTCAATAAAGTTCATTAGGTATTTGGGTTCAATTGGCTCCGGCATGCGATTGATGAAACTACTGAAGCTGTATTTGCAGTACCTAGATACCCATTTTTGGTAGCTACAGGGTATACAAAGCGAAAAAAACAAAAATATTCACACTCAAGCGCTAAGCTCAAAACTTTAAGCTTTATAGTTGCAAGCCAAAATATAATAGTGCCAAGCGACGAAAGCTAACTTAATGACGAAGCCCTGATACTCTACATAATATATACATTATTTATATATATATATTAGTTTATCTATACGATCTTTAAAGAAGAAGCAGCTATACTCTATTTACGAAGTGTAGTCAGTTATTTAGCTTTTTATTACATTAGCTTATTACTTATTATAAGGCCTTAGCGACGCTCGCTTTTAAGTAAATAAATATTAAATTACTTAATTTATTTCTCAGCTGTATCCGATGTGCAAGAGACTCTAGCTAGGTATATTAAAAGTTTGTAAAAATTATCACAGAATGCAACGAGCCGTGCAAATCGTACTGAAAGTTAAAAATGACCAAAGTCAGTACAGGACATAGCTTTTTGCTTGGGACCCCCTCCCAATTCGAGCCTTTCAGCTGTTCAACTAGCCCATTTGAAGTGTTGACCAGGCCAAGAACTTAAAGCTTTCCCGCGTGCCCATCTGCAGTTATGGCCGCTTAAAGAACTCACTAACACTTAACATTTAATTAAAAAAAAAATAGTGTAATTACAGACTGGAAGCTGCTTGGCGCGTTGTCAAGGAAATGAATCCCCTTCCACTCTTCCAGCTCTTACACCCACTCCTACTACCACTTATTGTTCCTGCTTATTGCAATTACTTCTGGCGTTAACTGCTTCGATGCCAACTGTTTATTTTGACGGGCTAAAAATGGTTGAAGTTTCGCATTTCTTCTCCTGTTAAATATTTAAAAGAAACTTGGCGTCCACAGACTTTCAGACACTACACTAATTGGTCAATGTAAAATGCTTAATGATCTGCCCCGCATTGTTTCAAGCACAAATCTGAGATGGACACCATTTTTCCAATATTGACAGTAACATCATGCCGACGATCATCCTGCTCATTATTGCACTCTATGATTGGCTTCGGCTTTGGCATTTTGGCAATTAATTAGTCTCATTGTCTAGCTTGTTTCTTGTCTGGCTGACTTAACAAGCAGTCTGGGTGCAGGATGCATTACATCCTTTGCATGTAGCATTTCAACTGATGTTCCACAAACTGTCTTCAGAAATTCTTTTGTGTGTACACATGCACGTCCTAACAATGTATGCATATTTTGTGGGCGTTTTGTTGTCATTGTTGGTGGAGAGGGGGGTGTGTTGGCTGATGGGGGTGTTGTGGAGGTGTGGTATCAAAGTGCATACAAAATACGTGCCTTGCATGCCCGAGCCGCGTGCTATTTATTTTTATTACGCCGAGCATCTAAAGTTTTACACATTACTTTTATTCTGTGCATAGCAAGTTTTTTTGTACTTCTCCCGGATGAAGAGTATAAAATCACATAGGTGGTACCCAAGCGACAAGCTGCTTGAAAAGCTTCAGCTTCAGCTCCCACTCCAGATCCAGATCCAGAGCTATACAGCTATACTCCAGCTCCTCCACCCTTGACATGTTTAATAAATGGCAAAAGCTGTCAGAAGGCCACATTGTTTGTGTTGCTTAACCTTCAAGCAACTGACTGCAAAAGTTTTCCGCTCCCCATGATATTATAATCTATGAAATATGAGATTCACCTTTACAAAGCAATGGAGCATGTATTGTATGTATTACACGTGTGGCGTAACAGGTATGTGGATGAACTTTCAATGGCTTTTCACATATATAAATTGTTCTTACTTACTGCCAACATATGTTTCCGTGATAGTCAACAACATCAATTTACTTACCCATGACACACACATATTCACAATCAAAAGCATTTCATTTAGGCATCATCAAAGATATACTGCATATTACATTTTATATTTCATATGGGGAAGCCAGAGCAGAAAATTATTCAATCAACAATCAACTTCAATTAATTTATTCACAACATTTATTTGTTTTTCATGCACATTTAAAGTCATAATTTGCCCTTTTATCCATTGAAAATATTTTACAACGAATTCACTCATACAGATATTTGTATTTATATTTTACCAACCATTTCGTATTTTCGAATGCTGCTTGTAACTAAAGCGCAGGGTTACTAGACTACAAGGGTAACAAGGAATAAATAAAAAAAATACTGCAATTATTATAACAAATGTTTAATAAAAAGAGAAATGCCTAAGTTCTAATCACTATATATATAATATTTAATTTATGCATTCCAACTTATATTTATTTACTTTCATAGGTAATAACAATTTCCACACTTTTTACTAGAACGAAAGAGCAGTAAACATTCGACAAAAAGTTGTCTCAAAGTTGGTTATTTGTTTTGGCTTGGTGTATGTGAAAAATAAATTATGCATCGAGCCAATCGAGGCATAAACGTCAAAGCTTCGTGGCCTAATTAGCGACTGCCACGGCCAAATACGAGCAACCATTATCGAATTATACAAAATGCATTGTGGGTTTGTGTAGGGTGTATTTCCTGTATAAATGCTATAATTTTTATTACGTATCAAATATTGATGTTGGGGAAAATTTAGTAGATTTCATTACACATCAGTAATGGTAGGGATGGGGGAAAATGGTAGCGCAATTAAGTTGATTTTAAGTGGGAGTATTTCGAGCAGATATTACCCATAGTTTAGCACCTAGCAATGGCTATAGAAATGTGCAATTTTCAGAACACATATTTCCTTTTTGGCAACAAGCCAGCAACAAACAATGAACAATTATAAAAAAAAAGAAAAAGAGCAAAAAATGTGTATATAGAAACCAAATAGGAAAACAAAAAAAAAAATGTTGCAGGCCGTAAATAACCGAGGAAGCCAAGTAAACAGCGACTGCCAGCCGCAAAAGCCAAAACTCACTGCGAATGCGAATATTCTTGGAATTTTCATTTGTTGTAGCGAGTTTCGGGTTGAAAGCTCGGACGAGGGTTTGCGGGAAGCGGTGTTGGTGTTGGTTACTGGTGTTGAGGTCGCATAGTTAGAAATGCCCCATCCGATGCTGTCAGACCAATTTGTCGCTGTGTGTGTGTATGTGTGTGTGAGGCATAATGGCCTTGCTGCTTCTGCTGCTGCATTGTCGCTTCATTTTTGCAGCAAAGTGTGGCAAAATATGTTGACAGGAAATGTTATGCGAATTTCACTGCGTATAAAATGAAATTTACGTGAGTTTTTGGCGCGTGCTCTTTTCGGTGTATTTGTTACTGCTATTGTGTCGTGTTTGCATTTCGTGGTAATAAGTTGAAAACATATTTGAACTTTAATAAAAAATGCTTAGGTATGAGAAATGTATACAGCTAGCAGAGTAAAGAGAGAGTTGCATTTCAGTAGCTTGAAGAAGTAGTCATATTCCCAGTGTGCAAGTAAATGTTGATCAATGATTCATTATTTGTTACTTAGTAGACACAAACGGTTGATGACGCAACCTTATATACCGGAAAATGTATTATTATTATTTTTATTTCAATTATTGCATGACTTGCTAAGCAAGCGTATTAAAAAATGTTTGATAGTCAACAGATTACTGGGTAATCAAAAGAGCAGCTAGTGCCACAATTCCATGAATCAACAAACAGGTCTCGATATTGAGCGTGTTAATAACAATATGTTAATTCTCAACTTTACAGCATACATATTGCGATAAAATTAATTATTCAACACTCAACGACTATTTCCAGTAACTAAATATATAGTAAACAGATAAGACAACTTGTTGCATGAAAATGTCAGAACTTATGATTTCACTTTAGACTCTAAAGCATCGATGCAGATAAAAAATATATTAAACAAATTTGGCAACTGCACTATGTAAAGTCAAAATTAATCAAATATGCCTTGAGAATTAGATTAGATTATGAATAAATAATAAAAGGCTGACATACATAATTAATGCATTAAACTTGTTCAAATAACTGTAGATCGTTTTTAACCAGAGCTTTAACTATCGAATTTATTGCAACTAGACTATTTAATACAATAATACATGTTATGATTCGAGGTTTATTAAATACTCAACAACACTGGTGGCCATCGGACAAATATCCAGTTGGTAAGACCAATTTGTGGAGATTTTCGACTACACATCTGCATTTGCACATATTTTCAATGATTTCCCAATTGAAACAATTAAATAATAATTGAAAACTGCACAAATATCATACACATGCATTTGTTTTCTGTGGATAATTTCACATTGTGTATCTACAATTCTGTGTAATTATTTCACAAAAGAGCTATTCATAACTAGAACCAATTAGTTTAATAAGGGCAGCTGATATAAAAGAGAATTTTCGAAAAGATTGTATAAAAACAAAATAGAAAATTGTATCTCACCAGTCGAATGTTTTCAACTGAAACTAATAAAACAAACATAGTATGACTAAGAAAACTATATTGAAGCCCATAATAAGAGGAAATGCAATCATTTTTTTTGCTCTCCTGGCAGTCAATGTAGAAGTAAGTTTTTTTGTGCTAGTATTGACTTCAATATTACTCCAAATACATTGTAGAGCTTTACCATGCCCGTAAGTGTGGCTGATGAATGCCTGGCCAAAAACAACGTCACCAGAGAAGACTTTCTATTGAGAATAGATCAATCACTGGCTGAAACCCATGAGGAAAACATTGAAATAAATTATATGTGCTTTGTGCACTGCATGGCCACCGAATTGAACGTTCTTGATGCCAATGGACGCATCGATATCGAGCTGCTGCAAATCGTTGAAAACTTAAGGGATACGAATATTGAGGTCGTTGAGGAGTGTAATCGTGTTAATAACTCGGTGGAAGACCTGTGCATTTATGCCTTTGAAATGTTACTGTGTCTGATCAAAAACATCGACAATACCCAATATATTAACATAGCACCGGAAAGAGCCGACTACTAATGTGATTTATTTCATTAATTTTTGTTGTTAAACAGCTATCATAAATAACAATCAAAATATTCAATATTATTCACTTAATTTTTGTGCCCCACTATTAAGGTAATAAATTTAAATAAAAAAAAAAACACAGACGTCAAATGCAATAAATTAATAAGCAGACCGCGTTTATTCTGGTATTCATAATTAAATGAAATTACCGTGTGTACCACGGGACGAATGAATCAAATTAATTGCATTGGCGTGCAGCTCTAATTGATTCGCGATAACAATGTATTTGCACGATTTAGTATTGTGAACGATAGCAAAATCAGTCGTACAATAATAATAGATAATTGCTGATATCAGCCTGAGGGTATTTTTTGCCTCAAATGTGTAACGCAGTTGTTGTCGCTGTTGTAGTTGTTGCAATTGTTGACGCTGTTGCTGTTTCTGTTGTTGTTTGCCGAGTGCCAGGAAAAAACATTTTACTTTTCACAATGCAATTCCGTTACAGTTTTACCCTGTTTTTCTTTATTTCATGGCAGCGCATGCTACGGAAGTTGTCACGATGCATTGTTGCTTCTGTTGTTGCTATCTGAAGAGAAAAGGCGTACAGCAGCTGCAACAGCCACACACTTGACTGGCTCCGGTTGTGCCTCGGGCTGCCATTGTTGGCCTGGCTCTCGATTGTCATTTAAGCTTTACGCGCTCTGCATACGTATATGCGAGTGTACTCACTGTGCCTGTGTGCCACATTAGCGGCAAAAAGAAAAACATTGCCGTGTATTGTCAACACTCCCAAGCCCACGCCCACGCCCACACACACCATGACGTATGAGTAACGTAGCAGCGTCTGCCACGTTTCTCGTGCCATGTCAACATGCAAAACGATAACAAGGCGGATGCGCATTGTAAACGCGACACGACTTCTCTATGCAGCAATACCACCCCACCCCTCCATCCACCTTCCATTCAACCCCTCGAACACCTACTACCCACGCCAAACAAAATCGAGGTGTGGCCGCGAATTGCGTTTTTTCAGCGAATGAAGCAATTATAATTTTGTAAATCGTCGGAAGTTGTATAAAAATACAGAAAAGAAGACAGAAAATACTGCGTAGCCTGAAGTCATCGTCATTTTCAAATAGGATAATTGAAGTTCGTGAGCACCATCGGCAATACACAAAAATTGTATGTTTATAATATGGTTGCGAACATATTTCCAGGAACAATAAGCCACGCTAAATGTAACATATACAATATGCAAAATATTTGGTGCCTGAGGCAACTGCATTACGTCTGAGCACTATTCGATAACAGCTCACTATCCGGAACATGAATGCGACGATAGCGTTTGCACTGCACTACACTCTTCAACAACTGTCAATAAAGTGATTGGCATGTCTCGGAAAAGAAGAAGAACTTTTGTGCGTCCGAATTGAAGAAGCGCCCTTGCTTATGCCACAGTTTCTGCTGCCGCTGCCTCAAGTGTGCTTATCAAGAGACACATGAGGTACTGACATGAACTCACAACGAAAGGTAAGTAGTCCAATGGGTAAGGTTGGGAGGAGCAACAGCAGGAGGATGGTGGATTTGTGGGGGTCGAGGGAGCTAGCACAGGCTGGAGATGACAAGGCGGCGAAGCGAAGCGCGTAAGTTTTCAGTTTTTCTGCTGCATTTTCCTTTGGGAAACTTGCGCAAGTTCTGCATATGACTGCAGGCACGTCCCTTTGCGTGTGTGCGTGCTATGAGTGTGTGCATGTGTGTGCTTGTATGGCAGAGGAAGTTGATTTATGCCACTTTGTACACATATGCATGTGTGTGCGTAAGTGTGAGAATGTGTATAAGTGCAAGGCTGCTGCATAAATGATTTATTGCTATTCCCGCGACAGTTTCGTTTCGCTTTCGTTTGCCACTCTGCAAAAACTGGCAACATGTGCACACCCACGCACACACACACATACAGGCACACACACATACAACAGGACAAAGACTATAATAAATAATTATAATTGCTTTCGTTTTGGGACAGCAACTTCACGTCGATTTCCACATGTGCATTAATAAACCTTATAAATATTTAAGTTGTATGAAAAATTGCAGTGCCGAAGTGACAGTTAATGGAAATGCGGGTAATTGAATGGGCCACACTGAAAATGCAAAGGCAGCTGCAAGCAGGTGTTAAGCCACGCTGTCTCTATCCATGTAAGTTGAGTCTAAAATTTGCATAATATCAATGTAAAGCAGACGCCCGATAACAGTTCTTTGCAGCCTGTTGCATGTGAAAATGACAGCACAGCTAAAATACATTCAAGCTGTAAAAGTGGCTGTAAAGCTAATAGAAACTTGACAATGTGTACCCCGCAAACCACAGTGTGGCAGCTTATAACAGAAAATAATATAAATATCAAAACTAAACAATCTATTCCAACATCAAAAGGACAACTTTAAGATTTCATTCACATAAAGAATCTATGAAAGCCTTCTGACAATTAATTTATTATTAAATATAAATAGACGCCTGAACAGATATAATGATATAATGTTTTCGACCTTCGACATAGATTTTTAACAATTGTATAAAATTACTTAGTTAAACACCATATAAAACGTAGTGTATTGGTTAAATCACTGGAGTAAAATCAAGCCTATCATGTTCATTGGAGCTATAAAATTTGCTAATGACTTTAAATTTTATTTAATCAAAAATATAGCTAGTTCTCCAATTTATAACGAATTTTCACACAATGCTTAAAAGTCCTACGAATTTGTGTGGGCAAAAATATGTTCGGCAACTTCATCGTCCGTCTCAGCATTGCCAACTTCAAAGAATCTAACTTTGAGTTCAGCCACCCAAAAATTTTTATTTCCGTTGGTTGACACTGCCGAAACGTCGTCACGAAATAAAATGCTCCCACCGGAAACAGGAAGTGCGATTCATGCAACATTTGTTAAAAAAAAAGAGAAAAAAAAATATAAAAAAAAACTAGAACACAAAATTCATGTATAGAAAAATAAAAAAGTCCAAACAAAGGGGCGTCAGAGCAAACAAGAAAATTGACGCGTATAATTGTCACAAAATGTAAATATTAAAAAATGCTTGTGCAATTGCATAGATTTAATTAAATTTGCAATTTTTGTTTTGAGCAGGCAAACAAAAATGCCGAAAATTGGCCACAAGCATGCTTCTATTTGGGATACCCAAATACAAATATATATATATTTATATATATATATACGTATATAAATAAATATTTGAAAAATCTTCTCACATGAATAATTCCGTTTAAGCTGCATACATAATTTGCAGTCGACAATTTAATAAATATTTCTGGATTGTAATTGAATTCCAATTTTACACTTATATTCGGAATGTGAATTGGCAAACAGCAGATAATTCAATGTGCCAAACACTCACAGACACACACACATACATACACACACAGACTCCTTATCCTTGAAATAGTCACTCAAAATATTGCAAAATTTTTAATCACATAGAAAATATTTGCACATTGCACTTTGGTAACTCGAATTTCTGCAGATGAAAAAAAGAAAAATAATCTTGAATTTGACTTGTGCGCCCAAGTAGTTATTCAAGTTTTGAATTTAAAAGCAAATTGCCCTGGAAATAAAATAATATGCTTAAAACCAAGTTAACGGAATAACAAAATATTAAAATTAAATTAAAATCATCTCAGCTAGAAACAGTAAATTGTTCACTAGCATAACTTTTCCAAATTTATTCGATTATTAATGGCATAACTCAGTCTGCAGCGTTCTTAGTTGTTATTATATATTTAGACTAATCCTTGGCCTCTCAATTCATAATACATATTTGAAAACGCAATTGTTGATCGAAGTTAGAATAAAATTATACGATTTTACTGTTGAGTACTCTATTTATTCACCAAATTTTGATTTGACTGCTTTTTCAGTATGTTCACCAAATTGTAATAGCCTCGCTTTTTAAGAGTCCGTCAATATACTGCTAAAAAAAAAAAAGCCGCCAACCACTCCAACTCTAACTCATCCATTCCCTCCGCATGCATACATATATCAGTTTCCATGCAAAACTCTTTCATGTGTCTTCAATTTTTCGTATCTGGATTTGTTTCAGCTGTTCACGTTGGGTGACATCAAACTCGAAGCACGCACAGCACACGCATAAAGTGGAAAACATTTTTACACATGTGACTGACGCTGATTGCGTTTGTCACGTCGACGAAATAAAAATTGCAGCCCATTCCGCAAACCTGATCCGGATTCCGATCCATTGCCAGGCAACCGAGCAACCCAAAAAGGTGGCAAACGCACACAGAGCAAAGCCGCAAAAGGCAGCAAAGAAGTGGTCGTCTCCATCATCGGCACACAAAAGACGACCAAAAAAAAATCAGACACACTCACACAGACACACACTCACACTGTTATAAAAGCATAGTCAAAACCAAATCGTAGGCCCCACGCTGTCCTCCGACAGTTGTCAACTGTTTTTCCCTTCTTTTTTTGTGCTGTGCGCCAAAAACTAGGCAACGGAATTGCAGTAAAATCGTCACCGATGAACCCGCCGTCGCGTTGCGTCGCATCTCTTCTCGTCGGCCACGTTGCGTATACGTATCGTTGTGCATATTGGGTCGCCATCACAGATTGTCGCAGTTGCGGCATATTTACATAATTTAGCGATTGAATTTTATGTTCAAAAGCAAAACAAAGCCACAGCTGCTGCTGGTGCTGCTGCTGCTGCTGGTGCTGCTGCTGCTGCTGCTGGTGCTGCTGCTGCTGCTGCCGTTGCCCAAGTTCTTCCACCAGCGTTGTCCTCTCTCCGCGCGACACACACATCAAATTGACTGTGGATTTATCCATTTGGCTTTTACTTATTAATTAAATAATATTCCGTTGCATTTGCGTTAAAATCGACCGAGGGTTCATCGCTGCGAGGGCCACCGTTCTCTGTGCCATCGACAATAATTGCATGCAACATAATTATAAGCCATTAAAGCACTTAAGCTCCCGGAAAACCAACAGTACGCAGAAGGGAGTCGGGGGAGTTGGGGAGTCGGCTTGTGCTTGGGTGAATTGTTCGAGTCATGTTTGCATATGCATAATTATGATGAAAACACATTTAAATGCATTTAATCGGGAGTTCAGTTGGCCAACGACAGCTGCCCCCTACAGCAGGTAGCTTATGGCCACTGCCCACTCAAAGGCTTTTAACGTTTATTGGTTTTTATTAAATATGCGAACGTGTCATATTTCATGAGCAGCTTCGAATCGACGTTGACCAGCACAAAAGGCATTTTTAGTTAGATGTGACTGGGGCAGCTGTTTCTGAATTCCATTTGATTATTTTAACAATTTATTGCTCGAAAGTGCCCAAATCACTAATACTGATTCAGCTACAAACCGATTAAACAATCAAATACAATGTATTACGTGATAATAAGATTAGTTTGTCAAATTGCTACAATCGCATTTGATTAGATATGCAAAAAAGATACAGAATAAACAATTTTATTGAATATCATATTAACAGAAAAATGATTTATTTCTGTCTAAGCTTTAAATAATCTATTGAAATTTGCATCAACTCTTACATCGTAAAACTTAAATGATTTGCATAGCCAAGTATTTAAATAACCTTTATTTTATATTCTGATAGTGAAGGTGCTCGTCAACTAAGGGATTAGGAAGTCGATAAAAGCGATAATTCCAATTCCATAAAGTCAAACATCTCCCACAATTTTGAAGATACAGTAACCAAATTTCTAAGGTAGATTGTTTCCAAATGTTCCGTTCAGTAATTAGCCTTACAACTTCCAATTAAGTTTGAGTCTGACTTGACTTACAGTCATCTAAATCAAAAGTCACTTCTTTAACTGTGATCTTTGTCAAGTCACTCAATCTACAGCAGATGACTAATGTGCTTGTCAATTTATGTGCCACGCCCCTTCGGCAGCACAGAGAAGTGCACTTTTAACTTGCCAGAGAATTCGCACGTTGACTTAATTAAAGTTGTACTCCAGGCAGCAGGCGCAATCAACAGCAAACAAAAAATTGCCAGACAAAAAGAAAAGAGGCTGCACTGAATGCAAAGGCAATAAGAGCTAAAACACATGTGTGAAAACTGGCAAAGTAAATGGCCAAAACAAATTGCCAAAGTCAGAGCAACAGCAGCAGCAACAGCAACAGCAGAAGCAGCAGCAGAAACAGCAGCAGAAACAGCAGCAGCAATGTGCGCAGTTTTGAATGGGGTTTTCTTTTCTTCTTTTTTTTTGGTGTAACCAGATGGCAATTTATAAAATCCTTTGAAGTGTCGAAAATCAGTAATTGTAGTCAAAGTGCAAATTGATTGCCAGTCAGACATACACACTCTCTCTCACACACACACACACACACACACACTACCATGTTCTGGCAATTTTGAATGTTCTTGTATGTGTGCCGAAAAATCAGTGTGACAGCAATGTTTTATTGAGTGTAATTTGTAGTTGCAAATTAATGGCCGCACTTCACTTTTAATTAAAGCATAGCAAAAGAAAAATCTCAAATATCCGAAATTAAAAGGTGTTGCCTGAGGCACTTGGCATGCTCTTTAAGACAGCGGGGTGTAAATAAGTTTTGGTAGTCACAATTATTTAAAAAATAATTAAATAAATAAATGTGTTGAAAGCTAAAAAATAAGAAATTTAATAAAATATTATTCGAATTACATTCAGTTTCATTGAACTGTGTTACAGGATTAAAAGCTACAGATACTAAACATATTTTACCTAAATTGTATTTAAATATAGTTTCAAATCCAGATAAACTACAATTCTTTCAAGTTTGCAGCAAAATTGAAGTAAAGTGAACAATTCCGAACGTTCAGGATTGTCTATTGTCAACCACTTGTATCCACTGCAAGCAAATATAGACTGCTCTATAATATAAACTTGTAAAAAATCAATGATCAAAGAAAATTCAGTATGATTTAAATGTGTGACAGACAGCTAGATGTACTTAACATATTTTTATACTTCCGTTTAATTTATGCAAATGAATTAATTAGGAATTAATTAGCTTCTAGCAAAAGAATGTAAAGTACTCTGAACATTTTGGATTCACTTTTTTCACTATTGCGTAATATTCATTGCAAACTTGTCCACAATGGTTTGAATGTCCTGCTGGTAGGGTATAAGAAATTTCTATCATGCCTGTCAGCTGAGCGCACAAAAAGCGCCCTTTTGCACTGCAGTGTGGAATTTAGAAAAGTGTAAGATAAGTAACTCAATTGCAGGCCGTACTGCCAAGAGGAGGGTGCAAGAAAGGGGAGCTAGGGGCTTAGGTGAGTCTCGCTGTGTGTGTCTGTCGCTTTGACTACTTTTATACCGTTCTTCTGTTGCTTAGTTTTCTTCATACTTCTTTTTTTCTATTTCGCTTACCCTTTTGCTTTATGCCCTCGGGGCTGGCACGTTTTGCCTTTGCTTAAGTGACTTCATAACCTCGAAAGTGGCTTTGGCTTTTTACGGCACACATAGAATAGAGGGTGTGTGTGTGTGTGTGTGTGTATTGCAGCTTAGGCGTCCTTTCTGTTTGATAAGTTGCATTTGTGAGCTGCTTTGTCGCCTGTTGCATAAAAATTGCTTTAAAAACTTAAGACTAAATATAAACTGTGACTCTGACTGCAAAAGTTTTGAATAAATCTGCGACATTTGCCAGCGGCAAAAAAAAAAACAAAAAACAAACAGCAGCAACAAGAATACGAATAATATATCTTTGCTGATGTATTCGCAGAGGGACGCTGAGAGCGATGTATTCACAGAGTCATCATCAATTTTAGTTTGAGAGACTGATCAATAAAACATAACAGCAGCAAATGGAGACACATGCGACAATGACGCATGCAACTTCGTTAAGCATATGGACTGTTGATGCCACTCTTCAGACAGACAGCTGCTCCTGCGGGTGCGCAGATAGCAAACCCACACAAAAAAGCTCTGCCACCTCATTTTTTGTTCACAAAAAGCGAAAACTCTGCTGGCAATTGAGAAACATTTATTTGGATTTGTTTTGTCTGTTTGGAAAAATGCAAGAATATTCAAGGAAATTCGAATGTTGAATTATGCAGCAGTCTGCGAATAAAAGCTACAATTTTATTCGACAATCAAATCGGGATTGCAACTTGCAATTTCAATCAAATTGTGTTATTCTTAATAATGCATAATTTCATATCGCGTTTCACCTTTCACTTAGCCTGTCTGCTTGTTCAAAATGCCAGTTGGCAATGCCGCAACAACTTAAGAGCTGCCCTGCAGTTGGGCGGCTTGCTGATTTGATTACATTTACACACATCCGACAGTTGTTGGTTTGGCAACGGCAACTGTTTTTAAGCAAAATGCACGAGATGCACAAGATTTTCTAGTCAACACTTTGTAAGGCGCACAGGCTTAGGGTCGGAATCGGTGTATATTTTGGTGTTGGCGTCGGGGTCAGTCAACAATGGCAGCTTGTAGCTTGGCTTTGTTTCCCATGCAGTTGGCATGCGAATTGTGACCAGCTATTTTGGCTATGGCAAGAAGTTCTGCTTGGCCGGGCGCCAAAATACAAAGTCTTTTGTTGTCTGCTGCCAATTGAATTGAAACTTTATTTTTTGTCTGAGTGTTGCTGTGGTTGCCCTTTTTTACCCCCCGGTTAGTGATGGGTATGTGCATCAGTTTGATAACAAAGCCGAGAAAACCCATGATGAGCAATCCCACGGCAGTGGCCAGAGCAGAGCGTCGAAACTCCTGACGATCCGGCTTCGTGCAACGTTTAATCACACACCGCGAGTCCTTGATGAATGTCAACAGCGACAATAGAATATATAGCTGCTGATCGTAGGCCCAATGTGTACAGCTGTCGAGTGCCTTGAAAGTGGGCTTCAGGTCCTGCAGCAACTTGTCCAATCTAAAGGCATTATATGCGAGCCAGTCTTATTTAATGGATTAATAACTTACCCCCTCTTTAGTTTTTTCTTGCCCCTTCGGCGTCGCTTCAAGCACTGATCCATGTAAACTTCTGTCGTTAGTTTCTCCTTTGACTTGTTAGACAGGCATAAGGCAACGCCTGGTCTGAATTTGCAATTGTCGTACTCGAAATTAACACGCCCTGCCACGCCCCTTATAAGGTGCGGGAAGTAGGAGATACACTCAAATCTGTCTACGCTTTCATTTCTTTTATTTTTGTAACTTTTCTCATTACGAAAGTTTCACTATTTTCCTTGTGCACGCGACAAATACATACGAAAAAAAAATAAAGGGTTCTTGCACTGTCAACATTTTCCAACTGTTTCCAGCTGCCAGCTACGTTTGAGAACGTTATTTACCATCTTAAATAGATTTCCCAATACCATCTTCAAAGGAATGAAGTGACATAAGGGTTCACAGTGGAATATAAAACTAAAGTAGTAGAAAGAACTTAACGGTACTTAAGCACTTATGCTATCGTTTATTACTCTACTGATAAGTGTGATTGACAATAATATGGCTTAAAGTCGGTGGTAGACTGGAAATTTGACTTTCCCAAACTGAAACCCAATTTCTAATATAAAAAAACCATTCCCAAAATATCGCAACAGAGTTATCTATAAGCTACTTATTTAAAAGATGAGAATTATTCACCTAAAAGTATTATACAACTTTGAATTGGCTACTTCTTAAGCTACTTTGTTTCGAAATGAGATTTATTAAACTTAAAGTATTATATAACTTAAAATTGGCTCGTTTTTCTAGCTGTTCGTAAACCCTAAGCAATTGCCAGCGAGTACATGTCGAACAATGCACCATCATTTAGAGTAAAGGCTGGTGGATTGGGGTCTGGGAGGTTGCACCCTAGATTACACACTTAATCAAACTTTATGCAAAGCTGTCTGCCACCCACAAAATGTTCAGCAATTTGTTGGCACTGCACACACGCACCACGCACCCAGCAAGATGAAGACAGAGTGGGCAGAGGGAAAGTTGAGGAGGGGATTTTGCCGAAAAGAGACAAACGGACAGAGGTCTTAAATGCAGCAGCAGTTTGTTTTGCTGCCGAATCGTTGCTGTCTTCACTTGAAGCCTAACCAAATGTACAGAATCATGTAGCGCCGCGAGCTCCAATTCCAAAAATGCTGCAAGTACTTCAGTTGTTGCTGCTGCTGCTGCTGCTGCTGCTGCTGTTACGACTGCTGCCTGTTTGATATCCTCGACTGGCCCGGTTGAGCTCCCAGGACAATTCACTGCGAAATTGCTAGGCAAAACTGTGGCACACAAGGTGGCCGGAATGACAACAACAACAGCAACAGCAACATCAATACTCGTTATGTGTGTGCAACACAGCTTGGTACTCCAGTTCCAGCTCATGCTTCGGCTCCTACTCATGCCGCTGCAGTGTCGGCTCAATCGGCTTCATCAGTACGCAGCATGCGTGCGTGTATTGGTGTGCTTATTTATGAATGTGTGTGTGTTTCTGTGTGTGTGTGTGTCGGGATTTCATCGTCACCATTGAGATTGAAAAATGTTAAAAAATTGCTTTTAAATGCCACCAAATACAATTTATTATTCAACAGAGGCAAACGCCAAACAGCTCCACAGAAATGTCTGCCCAGGGAATGGGCTGTGGGCTTTTGTGAGTGTGCATTTGGCTCAGGCTGAGTCGTGACACTGGCTCCAACTAGCAGTAATATGTGTGTAGAGGCCACAGCACTGGCAAAATTAAACTGTGATCGTCTGCTTGGCAGTAAATTCAAATAAAGTACACACACACACACACACAAGAGCAGTAGCAACATTTGTAGCTGCAGCTCTGGTTTATTACGCATACGCATACGTACGATGCAGCCAGATACAGTTATTGGTTGGCTATACAGACCACAGCCTCATTTTGAGCCATTCGTTGATATATATTAGGGCCAAAGCCACTAAATATAATTAGAAAAAGTTGTGGGGCCTGGTTTTTGGCACAAAATTCAACTGGTTAATTCAAAACCTCACAAAATAATTAGCCAACAAATTATATGCAATTTTTTTTTGGTCTTTCAAGAAGCGCAACTACTGAGACTTAAATGTTTTAAAAAGAAGTTAGTTGGACGAGACAACATTTATCAAAAGTATATAATATGAAGCCATGTAAAACATGTAAAACATTTTAAGGACTTACACAAGGACCTCTGCAGCTGCCCATGATACATTTCTGTATTAAGCCTGCTTCAATATCGATGGCAATTTATACTTAAAAAGCAATCTTAGGCGCACACTATAATCGAACAACTATTTAGAGCTCTAAATGTGCCAATTTATTGGCTCAGGCAATCCAAAATTGGTAATACATTTCCCAAATTCTAAGACCCACTTAAAATGTCGCAAGCTCTGCGCTTCATCATAATTCACCCAAAATTTACGAGCAGCTTATCATTGCTATACAATCGCACACACACAAACACACACACACATTGTCACACACACACAAGCGCACACAAATTATGAGCAACACAGTTAAGCGAAAATGATTTAATTAAATTATTTGCCAATGCTAATGCCTATTTGCCACAATGCCGCTGGGGACCAGCTGCGAACATCAAAAGACACTGGAAATTAATCAGGCGCACAGGCAGTTGAGCCACGCCCACAAGCCCACATGCCCATTAGGTGGGCAGTGCCTGTGGCACATATAATTGCATTAATTTATGTGTAAAAGCCACAGAAATTAAAAATAATAATATGTAATATGTATAATCAAAATATTCAAAATGCGTGCTTTTCCCCTCCAACGCCTCAGTGCCCAAAAAGTTTCAATATAAATTTTGTGTGCCAGCTGTCAAGGGGCAAGTGAATGGTGGGTGGGGTTGGCGGGGTATAAGGGTGGCTGGGTGCTGATAGTAGCTTCAGGCTGTAAGCTGCTAACCAGTTGAAAGACTAATTTTCACATTTGAGCTGTAAACTCGTCCTGGAACAAGCCTGGTCGAGCTGTAAATGCGAGGCTAATGCGTTGCGGGGCTATCTTTTGTGCTTGATGAGCTGGGAAGGAGGAGAGTTGTGGGCGTGGTTGGCCAGCCAGCCAATTTCATGGTTAAATGATTCAGAAACAGAATTACAAAATTAGTCGGCCCGTTAACACAATGTAATTAACTTTTGCGCGACCGCTCTCAATATATTTGATATTTATTTACCCGGCCCCAAATGCCCCCCGGGGTGCACTTGGCTTCGATGCCTCTGATACCCTTCTTCCTCCTCCTCCTCCTCCTCCTCCACGATGCCTGGACTAGGGGCCAGTGTTCCCGTTGACAGCTTTGAAACTATATATATATATATATATATATAGAGAGAGAGAGAGAATATCTGCAGCTAGCGATTACAATTCCCAAAATTTCTATCGCACTCTGCTGCGAACGCTTTTCAGAAGCAATTTGAAACAAATTTTATTGCCAAAGTTTCGAGCACATGGAAAATGGTTCAAGTGCCTCAAAAAGTTGCAGTTGGCGCGTGCTTGCCTCTTAGATGCTTCTACAATTAGCTCTGCCTTAAGAGTATGCAAGTGTCCCATTTAAAAAAAAAAAAAGACAAAATATCTTTAAATGGGCACATTTCCATACAGTTTTTATCAACTAATTTCTTGATTACTATCAAAGGTTATAAGAATAAATGTAGAAGCATCTATGACACGCCAACTGCAACTAGATATATTTTTATAGTCTATGATATGAATTTATAATAGGTGCTTTGATATTTTGATTAGGGTTGATATAAATGAAGTTATAATAAGTATTACGTAAAACTAACTCCTAAAATGATAGAATAATAACGTAAGTACAATCCTTTCTTAAAGATATCGTCAAATTGACTAATAAAAGTACATTTTACATATGTATACACGTGTATGCATTTCTCATGCATATGGCTATATACATAGATTCATTGCCAAATCAAACCTCGAAAAACCTGGGCAATGATTGCCAAAGAACTCAACTATTGCTAGCCACTGCCATTACCAATTTTTGCGCTTAACGGTTCAGTGAGCAAATCACTAAAAGCACTGAGGGAAAAAGAGATAGAGAGTAGAAAAATAAGTAGAAATAGAAGTAGAGAGAGATTCGTGTGTTTCCGTTTCTGTTCCTGCTTATGCCATCAGCATGTCATCATGGCAACATCAGACGACATGCAACATTGCATAAAGATTTGTCACAGCTAAAGCCCCCCAAATGCAATGCAAGACAGCCGACATCGACAACACGCAGTGAGTGCCAGAGTTGGAAATAGATAGAGACACAGATAAAATGGATAGAGATAGGGATAGAGATATATGTAGAAATTTAGATGGAGACAAAGACGAACAAGGATACACCGACACACCGAGAGATGAGCTCAAATCGCATTTTCGCATGTTGAATTTCGCCAAACTACAACAAGCAAAACTGAAACTGGAGCTGGCGCCAATGCGGATACTACCACACATCAGTTGCACGAGAGTAGTTCCAAAACTATGCCTATAAAATTTGAAAGATCAACATTAAGAGAAAATTCATATTGTTAAATGCCTAAAATATATATATATAAATAGCTGAATTTCGTAAAAGGAATATTAAAATATATATTTTCATAATAAACAAATGATTTTAAAAATGTGATAAAACGGAATTCTCAAAATAAACAAGAATATTGTTTCAATATCCTAAAATATTTTCGAATAAAGAGTTACCATGCTAACCAAGAGATGTTCTCTAAATTTGATCATATATAAATTTAAGATTACACACAAATACTTGAGCTATCCTCGCAGCACTCGCCGGGGCTAAGCGGCAGCAACTTGCAGCAAATTCAATTTCGTGAAGCTCGATTGCATTGCGGCACATTGGCCCACAGTCTGTGTGAATATCTATGTAAATGTGTTTGTGTGTGTGTTTCTATAAAAATGCTTTTGGCTTGCTTCAGACGCTGCTCATCGATTCGCATTGCATTTCAATATATAAATATTTATACACAAGTAAATCTGTGCACAGCTGAGCAACACTGTCGCGCCACCGCGCCATTGACA